GCACTAAGGCTGTAGTATATTCGTTTTGTGAAGATTGAATGTGAAAAGAACGACGTCGAAAAATGTAAACGCAAAACTTGCGGTAACTTCATTGAGAAGTGGGCGAAGTCGGATCTGTATCCTTTTCAGTTGAAGTGTGTGTGCAAAGGGCAAAAATGAAAAAGTCGAGGAAGCAGATTTCATGAAGCATCTCGGAAAACCTGTCCGCGCTGAGAAGTGGGCGGGGATAATGGGGCGGGGCTTGCAGCAGTACCTAGTGTGGTCTAGTTATCAACTGCCTATTGTAAGGGGTGTGTCCGATTTGATTTGAAAAGTGTCCGATTTGATTTGAAAAGTGTCCGATTTGGTTTGAAAAGTGTCCGATTTAAAGTGAAAATGGTATTTTAATATTAAGCCGTGAAAGGCAGAGATTATTACATAAAGTGGAAATGAGACCTTCTCCAAGATATCCTGTTGCAAACGGTCAGCACAGTGCGACACCTCTTCCCATCTTGTAGTCGCAAATAAGATCGAAAGTCTGAAATTTCAATATTCCTTCGTGTAAAGTGTTTGAGAAATAATCTAACAGGGCAAGTAATAGTTAGAAACACCTCATGGTTTGCTTCCATGACCAACACTCAGCGTCTTGATCTCCGAAGTATTTCAATGCCGGGCACAAACCATACACTTAACAGAAGGGAATACAGGGCTTGCTACCATACTTGAAAAATAGGACACCACACTCACTGTCTTCACTATGAGTTGCTGTGGTGGAATCAGCTTCAAGAACATTGCAAAGAAACTTGATTAGGTCTTTGCAAAGTTCCGGAGGGTACCGTGCCTGAAATAAGAGTAATCGATAAGATGTTTGCCTTAAAATTTGGTGGGGCAATTACCTCATGCGAGAACAAGCAGTGGTCGACAAAAATTCCATTGGTGGTGAAGATCTCTCTTAGAAACCGCCTGATTTCGGCTTGCCTGAAATGAATGCAAAGCAGTAAGTTCTGAAATGATGAAATCTCAGTGGAATTAATAGAGATAAAAATCTTTTAACGCAGATGCAACTCTAATAGCTCAACGTTCTCCAGTGAAATGGAAGCAGGGGATGAAAAGAAAGTCGCTCCATTTCCAATTACAGTAGTAATAATTCTACGGCTACGAACCTAAGAATATTCCCTACCGACCTTATGGTGACTGGTATAAATTTGGGATTTAGAAGTCATTTTCGAGGATTGTTCACCGCGGCCCCCTGCACCCTGTCATTATGAAAGTGCGGCTAAGAGTGAGCCTCACATCTGTGGCCGACCGCAACATCAGAGTGAAACGTAATGCAATGTGTCGCAACTTATACACTCCATACGCCGAGAATGAGAGAGGGCATGGCTTGTACATCAACTTGTGCATGCGTAAGGGTGCGTTTTTCGTGAGATATTTCAGCGTCTCGAAGTGGGCAAAATCCCGCTCAAGCGCAACGCGTCACAACGCTTCGAATGAAGTACTTGTATCAGCCACGCCCCCTCCCATGTCCGGGATATGAAGTATATATCATCTGTCGGTAGAACCTTTCCGGATGATCTGTCATGTCAGAAGCAAAAAAAGGCTTGAAGCTCGCGTCGATTATGTAATTAATGTGATGCACCAACATTCATTGAGGGACTGAGTGGTCCTCAAATTTCCGTTTGGCCTGCACAACGTGGTATGGCTAGTCGAAGTACGAGTAAACGTTTTTACCGCACTCCAAAGGACCCGTCCAAATTTCACCGAATCTGTCTTCAAAGGTACTGGTGTATCATGGACAGAGTCTTCAGCCTCCAAATGAAAAAAATGCAGTATCTCGGAAGCGACAGATTTGGCAGCATATGACTCTACCTTGTAAGAGATCGAAGAACACGAATAGTTGAAGAAAACAACGTCAGATCGACATGTTCCAGTGTGATCGCGAGCATGAGCACTGCCATCTGAACGTGCAAGCCTCAGCATAACTTTAATGTTAATTATGTATAACACATTATGCGAAAAGTAGCAGCGTTAAAAGATAATAAAAGAACACTTAATAGAGAAACAGCAGCAAATACCCAAGTACTAACCGCGAGTTGCTTCGACAAAGCAGGGGGTAGACTCTGGAGGGGAATGTCGCACAACACACCAGCAATAGATCTGGAGTCATGACAAAGCTCCTAAAAGAATTACAGAATGCGAAACAAAAGTATAAAGATAAGATTCAAAGAAAAGTAAGACACTTCTACGATTCTTACAAATTTCCGAGTCTTCTGTTCACGTTCCTGCTCAAAGAACGAACGCACGGGAGCCGGTAGTGTTTCGAACGAGCTAAAATATTGATATACGAGCAAGAAAACACAGCAACAAAATATTTCTCAGCGGAGCAAACTAGTGTCTCTATGAACATGAAAAAAAAACGGTAGTGTTGGTTTTTCGCAAACATAAAAGACTGAATTTCGCCTTGGCCGTTCATTAGTCATGGGTGGAATACTCCGACGATAAGTGGTGGAAAGAAACAGCCAGAGGCGGCAGGATATCGTTTGGTGGCATAATTCGAGCAGGTCCAGAGACAATGGGCTGCCAATGATCCTTTAGGCTGTTCTCCATGATTTTTTGACTTCTTCCTTCCCCGGATAATCACTCAGCGACCACGGTTTGTAACTGTACGCCACTATCCGCAATACAAAATCGCGGGTTTTTCTTTAATATGGAATTCGAAAAGACGAGGAGGGAATTCAGGGCACCATCACTTGTCGTTTTCGAGTAAGAGTGGATCAGAGCAAGCCACATGCAGTAATAATTTCACCAGCTGTAAAACCTTTTCTGAAGTCTACGGAAGGGCACCACCAGATCATGTAGACTCATATTTGGAATCATCAACAACTACCTTCCACTGTCCTCTTCCACGGAGAAGCTTTGAAGAGCACTTGCCAAAGCACCAATGATAGGGCTTTTGTCGGTGTCCTGTAATTAGGATGAATGCGGTGAAGGCATGAAGAAATTTCTAAGGTAAAACTTACTTCTGCGGCTAATACCTTTGACCATATGTCGACACAATAATTTAAAAATAATGCCCCAAAGTATGTCGACGTCTGCTATGCTATCTGTTGCATAAATAATGTCTTTGACCAGAGATGACAGCTGTAACAATCGAAAGCCAACTAGTCATCCAAAACTAGCGAAGTTATCAAGACAAACTGGAAATTCCTCTCCGACGGACGATCTCTCCATGAGTGGACTGGAGAGTTTGCCTTGCCATCAGCGTGGCCACCGTTGCCAAGCTCGGAATGTGGCGGAACAGACCTGGAGGGTGAAGATATCCCGGTTCCGACTCCATGCTCTGCTCGCGCTAAACTCAAGGTACCACGGTCCCCGGGAAGACACGCACTGAGCGGTGGAGGAGATTAGAACGGAGAGGGCCAGATAGTTGGCGCCTTTTTGCTACGTTAGACGTTGGCTTGCCGTGTGGCAGCGCGAGGCGGAGTATGGAGAAAGATACTCGTGTCTAGAATACCCCTTACTTCCGTTCCGGTGCACTTCTGACCGGAGAAGATGGCACGACTGTAGCAGCCGACCGATTCACCTCTTAAATGACAAGGACCACGATCTAAGGAGTGGGTTGTACAGTGTTTTCAAGTACTCACTACCTGCGAGGCACATCGTTTTGAAAAGCGAAAAGTGAGGATCGTACCTCCAGAAGTTTATCATATGCCCGAAAGTGCGGGCAGAAATGTAGCGGGAGGAGCTTGAGATTCATTGAATCTTCGCCTTTTATTCGATCACGTCGTATACTATGCATATTGGCAAGTTGTCAACATCTTCGCTGCGAGACTACGACGATAAGGCCTCGCAGCGAATGTGTTGACACACTGCCGGAGTGAGCTTCAGAGAATCATAGTGCCTCAACAATAAATGAGAGCACGATCCATCATCTGGATGAGTGAAATGGTGGTGTCACTGCGAGTCCTCAGAAGTTCCTTCTCCAGAGTGAGCCTCTCCCTTTGCCTGCATACCACTCCAAACTTCACTGCCCTCCCCCAGCCCATAGAAACTGGGGTCGAAGCGAAAGCGAAAAAAAAAGCGAAACCCGGAGGGGGGGGGGTGTAACGCAGAGCACGCATGTAGCGAGGAAGATCAAAAATCATGGCTAAGAAAAACTCTCCCAAGGCTGTGAGAGGGTGCAGAGAAGTAGCAAGTGTGACTATATAGGCGTACAGAGCCATAACGCGCGCTCGACGCCATAAAGAGCCCGTAAAGATAGAGGAAACGTAAAGAACATCCAGATGTCACAACTCCTTCCTTCATCTCTCGATTTTCGAGTAAAGGGAGAAGTGGTAAACATTTCTACAGTTTGAGACCGCCCTATTTCGCACATTGAAAGGGAAGGATAAGCAGGTAAGTTACAGTTCTTTTTCTTGAGAACTATAAATGACACCTTATAAACTTGTTGAAAGCTGAATAGGATGGGAAGATAGGGACAAAAAGCTACATCGTCGAGTACGAACACTGTTAGCTAATTTTTAAAACTGCACGCCAAAATCCTTGAGCAGATCTGGATCAAAACTGTGACCGAGGTGAGATAAAATCAAGTCTTTGACTTGGTTCAAACTTACATTATCCGCTCTGATATAATGCAGAATAATGAATTCAATGAGCACCCGCAGTAGTTTGTGGCTGCAGCAAGTATAATATGATGGGAGGTATGTTAAAAAGAGATCGACCGCCTAAAATAAAAGAACGGATTTTATTAGTTAGGACAACACTAAGAAGCGAAAAAAGGTTTTTTTGTGGCGACATTTCTCAAATGCAGCCACTACTGCAGTTGAGGGTGGGGTGCATGTCGCGGTGCGCCGAATTTTGTCTTTCCGCATACTAAGACAAGGCCAGGTTATCTGAGCACTTCTAGGGCTTAACCTTGGAAGGCAAGACAACTTCCGTCGGCTGCTACGTGGCTTCACCAGCTATAGTGCAACCTCCTGCTGGGACATAAAACTCTCCCCAAGAGTGCAACAGTTGGAACAGATTGAGAGGGTATGAATCCTTACCTGTGAACGTAAACACAGCTCTTTGATTTCGCTCGATGGTAGCTCCATTAAAGATGGATTAACTCAAACTTTATGCCCTCAGCACCCTGAGGATCCAGTAGTACTGTCAAAGCCGACATATATGGGCACTTCTTCATTTCCTGAAGCTAATAACATCTGAAGCTGCTGTAGATCACGTTGCGAATGGAAAGAATTCGGCAATGTTCTCCAACTGTTACAATGAGAAAGGCTGAAGAAAACGAGAGTTCACCGTTGAGTAAGTCTTCTCGAGCCATAACTTAGACAGATCTTCGTCACGATACCATTTAGACACTATCAATAGATGTACAAAACACTTTGCGATCCTACACGCTTCGACTACATAAAAAATGGATAATGATAGCACTTCGACAATAATAGAGGCCAGCCTTCTCACCGCGCTTCTTGTTCTTCCACAACAGTGTGATGGTGTCTGGTAAGTGGTTGCATATCTCCTGACGCAGCTTATCGTGCCGTAAGACATGAACACAAGTAATAAGTTTTTCCATGAGAAAAGCGAAATTGCTGCAATAAATTACTGCATTTGAGGGTGCAGAAAAGGGTAGAGTCCAATTCAGTGCTGCGGCCATACCTTTCGTCGGCATTCTGAGCGTTCTCGGCGAAAAGGAAAGTATAGTTATCGGAATAATGTTTCGCGCGCTATGGCGTTTCAAGCATTTTCAGCGTTCCAAGCGTCTTAGGAAAAACACCAGCCGTTTCGAGCGAATCGCTCCAAATGTTCGACACCTACTTTTCTTCCTCGCCTAAGCACGCATTCAAATGTCCACTGAAAATTATTAACACAACCTGAAGAGAGCTCTGTATAGTGTTATGTACCTTGCGAATTCATTGTCAATGTTACTTAGAATCAAATCGTGGAACTCATGAAAGCGTTCTATCGCTGTACTGACACCAACAGCTGCAAAATATTGACACACGAGTTTCAGCACAGGTGAGGTGAGCGAAAATTGAAATACCTGAAAAATAAAAAAAGAAATTTCTGTATCCTGTTTGGAAAAATATACTATGAATGAAACACCTACACTGCAACTTTTCAAGATGACCACCACAGCATCTACTATTTCTTTCTCCAATCCGACAAGCTTTCCCAATATAGCTTCACATGAGGCATCATCACCTGAGTCCATAGTATAGAATTACTGTCTTGGAATTATGGAAGAACACTTCGTAGCTTATTGAAGTAGTTCGGACATTGAGCTAGCACATTATCGACAAGGACCAAAATGTAGTACTGCCGGCGCATCTATTCGGGATGAGTGTTGTAAATTCCATTCGAGATCGTAGTGATATTGGAGAGGGCAATGCGATCTGATCTCTTCGATCAAATACGGGCCAGCCAATGTCTATATTAAGATACATATTAAGATATGAAAGGCGTGGATGGGATGAGCAGGTCAGAGTACAGCTAACCCTCCATATGTAGGCCAAGAATGTAGCACTGTGTCACCCACAACACACCGTCTTTGATGTTAAGAGAGCAAAGGCTCGGCTGCTGCCAGAAAGACTCAAAGGCAGGCCCGGGGTTCGACAATGGTGGGTTGTGCGACAAAAATAGATATAGATAAAAATAGATAGAAATTAATGCAAAATACCAATAACAAAATGTAGATAAGGCAAAATAAAGAAGAAAAAGACAGAAAAACCCTGCCGAAATATCTCATACAAAACCATATGCTGAGCCGCGCCTGCACGTCCATAAGAAGGGGAAGAAAGGAGCGTGGTCGGGCGAGCTCCCCTTGTTGGTGCCTCCTCTTTCTCTTTAACTCCTCAATCTCACCTTCCCAAATGGAGAGGACTAGAAGGGGAACAACCCCACCACCACGTGGCACTGTACACACGTATTTCCGAGCTGTGTTTACAATAGTACATCCTGCACGCTTGCAGTCAGGACATCCATGTACAAGGAAGGCGCCTGCACATGAAACGAACGCGAGATTTGCCTCAAGCAATAAAGACAAAAATCAAATTACCATTCCAGACCAAGCTTTCTCAGAATAAACAGAAAATGCAGCTTTTCTCAGAGGGAAATTCGGAAAGAAACCTACTATAACCTCTCGAGACATTCTACAAGGAAAAAGTTGTTTTGCACATTGAGGAAAATGCTGCAATAGTAATGAGGACACCAATAAGAAGAAGTTTGGCCGCGCCTCTCAATATGCGAGAAAATATCCGGAAGGTGGGAAGTTGAAAAGGATGCCGGTACCACGCGCAAGATGAGGTTCCAAATTCTGGAGTGTATCCCGTCTAGGTCAAAATACAATCTTTCCATGGTTTTCTGTTTGATACCAGACTGATACTAATGCGAGTGTCAACACAGCGTTCCGACTTTGCAACTGGATCGCTCGAGCGATATGATCGCGCGATCCAATCGCTCGAGCGATCCGAGCGAAGTCTGAACACGGTCTGACCATTAATAGTAACATGCCGGCAGTAAAACACTCACTTAACAGAGCTTGTCTGATAGTTCTCTCTAAAACTTTGCTGTCGTGTTCATTGGGGAGTTTTGCCTTCTTCGATGGTGGTGGAGCCATCAAATGAGACAATATAGGTACTTCAGTAGGTTGTCGCGGCTTCGTCCAGCTGCAGAGCGGAAACTACAACTTTCTATTGCGACCTGGAAATGAATTAGCGGTTGAAAATAGCTGTGCCGTGGCCACCGGAGAAACGATCAGTATATTGAAATGTTCCCATGAAGCACACGGATCTGAACTTCGAATGCATGACATATCCCGGGGATGGGATGGGTGTGACTGCGTACTTCATTGGAACGTCACGGCCGCTTGCCCTTGGAAGCATCTTTTCGTTTAAGGACCATTGTAATTATATCCACAAGACAGTATGACCGTTGTTTCAACCAGAATTATCCCGCGAAGAAAGCATACTACGCTTTTTTCAGATTAAGTACGCAACCATGCCCACTCCATCTTCGGGATATAGTGTGGCTGCTAAGGGTTTACTTGACTACCCTAAATCTCATTTTTCCCTTCGAATAGTTGCCAGTACATGAAATGAAGAATAAGTGCCAGGGTACAGATATAGGCGGATGCTCATGGTCGCTGGGACTTAACCGCTATGCCTAAGATTGATAAACCATTTCTTTATACGCGAACGATTTCAGAATTTGGTAAGTTTTCGTATGTTGTAATTCCCCGTCTATAACGGGGAAGAACTTCCGTCTTGCTTTCAAGACATTTGGAGGTAAAGGGTCATGATCAGGGTGGGGGATCTTTCTACCCCTGGGCTCGGGAGGAAACCCCCAGCCCTCTTGTCTCACAATTGTTTTTTCTTACCCTTCAGCATCGAAGCAACCAAACATAAAAGAAAATATAAGATATTGCGAAGGAACAGAGCTCAATTTTTGCTCTTGCTGCGAGGGTCCAGGGGTATTTTCTCGTGGCATCTGCTAGTCCAGTAGTTGAAGGGAGAAGGTAAAGGAGGAGGGATCAGAGAAGGAAGGAAGGAAAAGAAGGAAGGAGGAAGAAAAAAGGAAGGAGAAGAGAGGCTTCGCAGTTGACAAGTGCCCTGACACGGTGCAAAATTGCGATTGGTGTAAACCGCACGAACTATTGCAGAAAACCCCTCACGGAGTCGCCAAAAATTTTGACGTTTCTATCGCTTCTCGCTTTTTTTAAACCACATGGGTAGAATTTTTAACAGGAGAACAGAAAGACAATTCTTATTGCATTGCAAACGTAAAGAATTTGTATAGAGCGTGTTTAAGTCTGAAAAGGCTAGAAATAGTGTCGCCAAATAATTAGGTTCTCGTTCTCGGAACATCATCTTTTGAACTTTATTCAACGTCGTGCCTGTTTTGGGGAAGCATATCCTTAGGTTAATAATGTGTTCCTTCTTACATTTCCTTCGTTTTTTTGTTAGCGTTCTTGCTGAGGCCAACATACAACTAATATTTGTGTGGGTGCGTTTTCGAAATACGAGACTAAACTTACTTCGCAAATGTTTGGTTTATGCGTTTACCGTGTTTCCTTTTTACGTTCGTGCTCCTTTTTTCGCTATGTCAACGTATTCAGGAGTAACATGGGAACATCGTCGCGACGTTCTAAGAAAAGACGTGGCGATGATGAGGATTCCGACGATGGTCGGCGAAATAGGGATCGAAATCATTCCAGTTCCAGATCAAGGTCCCCTTCACCGAAGCCTAAAAAGTATGGTTTGTTATAGAGCGTTGTGAATTTTGTGAAAGAAGCAGTACATTAACAGCCATATGAAGGAGCGGGGCACTTTATTTTGAGATCTTTCTTCAGTCTGTCTGGAGAGTAGTCATTATTATTTTTACCAAATTGACTTTTTCGCAGTGTTATACTTGCAATAGGCCTTATATAGTCTAATTGCTGCGGACGGTTGGGCGTGCCAAGCAGTATGAGTGTGTCACGCCGTTAAGCAGCGTTAAGACTTCGCCACGGTTGCGATTCGATTGCGCGTTGGGCGCGACCGATGCGCATGTTTCGACTACAGCGATCGCGTCGTACGCGCGACCTAAGCGCTACCGTCGCGAAGTCTGAACGCTGCCTTAGAGCCGTTATCTGCCTTTTGTTGAAGCATGCGACCAAAGTGGTAGAGAACGAGTAATACGAACGATATGCTCGCTTCAACAACTGGTGGAGAACGGGTTTGGCATCATCGCGTCTGATGCGCCCCGCCTCCGCAACTAACTAGACTATATTTTTTCGATGAAAACCCCTTTTCAACATCAGTTTTTGTTTTTTCAGATCGCGCAGACGCGAAAAAGAAAAGGAATCCAGTCCACCTCCGAAAGAAGAATTGTGAGTGATCATTTTATTTCTCATTTTATTACTGTGCACCTTGAAATCATTACACTTAAGTGCGGAGTCGCTGTCTATTGAAGAGACTAACAAGCTTCGTGCGAAATTGGGATTAGCTCCACTGGAGATCAATGATGGCCCCAAGGTGCGTCTATCATTTTACAGCAGAAATAGTAGCTGTCTTTTGTAGCAATGATTACCCTGGGAGAATATCGGCAGGTAGCTGAGCCGTCCCCGAAATTGAGCTTCAATAAACAAGAAATAGTTTGAAGGTGTTCTTTATTGGTGGAAAACCGCTCCGATTCCATGACCAACTGGTCCCTACTCATTTTTTCTGTATAAGGAGCGCTCTATCATTGATAGCACGGAACCAAAGTTCCAATAGTTCTCTTTGCTAAAGCTGAGAACAAGGCTTTTCGATAACTGGATCGCCCAGTGCGCTTTAATGCATTTCAGTTGGTTTTCTCCTTAGGCGTACCAATGTTTTCGAACAGTGCGCCAGCGTGCTATCGCTGGCTTCGTGTGAGTTCACTCCTGAAGCCCTAATCAGTACAACCCCTGTTATCCTTCACCCTCCAACTAAAAAGCGCACTCGTTCCAGTCACTGACTGATAGCTTGGTTTTGGATAAAGCCGTGTTAGTCAGCTACTGTTTATTGCTATTTCGACAAGACTGTTATAGTCTCAGACACAGTCCTCACTCACTACTTATCCCTTTACTTGGTGTTGTGCATTTTAGTCACGAGAAGCTGAAGATGGTACAACAGTTCATGTTGAAGATGGCTTCGAGTTTCGGCATAAAAAGCCAGAAAACTGGAGTGATAAGAAGAAGGAACAGGAGATGAAAGAAAAGCTTGAAGTTTGTTTCTGGTCACTCATTTATTGTGAATTTTTGTTTTCTATGTTGTGAGGTAGATCAGTTGAATTTCGAATAATTCAGATAGCAAAAAAGAAGCGTCAAGTTTACGAGCGAGTGTTAACTGCTAAAGGTATAGCGGACTCCGATTCTGAAGAAGACGCCGCTGACTGGGTAGCTAAAATGAGAAAACAAGAAGAAGAAAAGAAGCGCGCTGAAGAAAGAGTGAGTGCTTTCAAATTATTATACATCTCGACACTTTATTTTGATTACAGGCTAAAATGCTTGACGCTATGGATGAAGAATTCGGTGTAAACAGCATTATTGCTGAAGAAAAAGCGAAACAAGCCTAAGAAAAAGGAGAGGAAGCAAACCAAGGTTCTTATTACTGTTGTAATTTCGTATGCCCTCATTGCCTGTTAATAATATGGCGGTTGGATAAGCACTTCGTTTGAGGGAGAAAAAAATCCATACACTGCTGGTCTGGTGGTTGGTCACTCGAAAGAGGCATTCACTGGAGTGTCAGATCAAATTCTCGTCCTCGACGACAAAAGTTTGTTTTCAGACTATTACCTTTTCACGCTCACACTTCTGCATTTCATATTTCATACCATCTTGTTTGGGATTAAACCACCGTTTTGCAAGCATTCGGCGGATAGATTCTGAGCGTTTCAGGTGTTCTTGATGATGGTGAGGAGGTTCTTGTCAATCCTAACTTGATCGATAATGAAAAATATGCCAGAAATAGGGAGCTCAAAAAGCGCAAAGAGCTACAAAAAGGTTTCGACGATGTGGACGAGTTTGGAAATGTAAGTGTGTTTTTTTGCTTTTCTTTGAGCGCTTCAAACGTATCGCGGGTAGGTTCAAATCTTAGACTTTGTTTCTCTCCGCCATTTTTCAGTAGAGATTGTTTTCTTCTAAAAAGATGAGATTCTATGTGCAACTGATTCTTTTCATTTTCGTCATGAGATTTTCTCCTGCCTAGCGGTGATCTATTTCCGGAGGCCGTCGCTCGGAGATTACTTTTGCTTTATACGTTATCTTTCCCTTTTGTTCCGGGTTTGCTGTGGTGGCGTAGTATTCGATTGTTTTCACTCACTTCTTGTCTTCTCGAACCGTCAAGTCTTCACTTCCATATTTTTCTTCAGATACTGACGATACCCTGTGACAGAAGCGGAAGTAATGTAGTGGCAAGTGGAACTCTTATCCTGAGCGCAACCTAGGGGTCAAATTCTGGATCACCTTCCGACCAGGCTGGCCAAGCCTTGTACCCCAGGGACGATAAATTGGTGCTAGATCAGAGCACGTCCTACCGCTGGAGAAATTTGACTCTCTCTCTCTCTCGCTCGCTCTCTCTCTACCCCATCCTACCTGTCATTTTAATAGATTTTCTCAAGTTCCTGCCACTTTTGTTCAGCATCGTTAGAAACTTCCCAAGGGACGTCGTATTTCAGCCCTAAACCTTTCTAAAGCTAAAAAAGCTCGGTAGACTGTTGTGCAGTGCGAACGCTGAACAGAGGCTGCTCCATGCAGTCACGCAACACGAAAACTTCAGAATAGCGCTTTTTGAGCGTATAGATCATTTTCAGCCAAAATCCTATGGAGTTCTCACGAAGTATGACGAGGAGCTGGAAGGTGTGCAAAAGGAAAAATTCCGGCTAAACGAAGAAGGTGGTTACGATCTTGAGAAAGATGAAAGGTTTGAAGATCTCAAGATTCGTTTTACAGTACGGTGACCACAATGTTGACACCATTTATTACCTACAGGGAAGCAAGAATGCGTCGAGAATTAGAATTGGCAGGTAAAACTTTGGTCAGCATGGAAATGCAGAAATATCAAGTAGGAAGCGAGTTCTACACTCAAGTAGGTTATTTTCTCCTTGCCTGATTTTGCGTACCTTTATTAAACTGTTTCTTTTTAAAATTTCCAGTGTGATGAACTTCGCGCCGAGCTGTTCTGAGTGCAAAGTTTTCTTTCTTTTTAGGAAGAAATGATCGCTTTTCGCAAAGTTAAGAAAGGGAAGAAGGAGAAGTCTACGCGTAAACGGAAAATTCTCAAAGCTGAAGATTTAGTTCCGGAGGAACCTGCGAATGGGAAGGATTTGGGCTCGAGGTGCTTTATTGTTTTATTCATGTATAGTTTTACCACGTGTCCAGGCACAGGAAGTAGCAGAAATTCATTCAGAAGTTCCGCATTTTTTATAAAGATTGAAGTTTCTCTTGCAGAAAACAAAGAAGAAGACACGAAGATGATCATGAAGAAGAAGAGCAAAATGGAGTGAAAGTTGAAAATGTGAGGAAGATTTTTTCTAACTTTTTCGTTTTATTTTTCATGTGTTTCTCGCTATGCTACATAGTAGCTTATTCAGAAAGATGCAGATGAAGAGCCTGACACGGCTGAACCATCTGGACCATGGAAGCGAGCAACAAAAAGTGGTGTAGATATCAACATGTTGAAGAACTTCATCGATAAGGACGAATCTGATGTCGAAGATAGTGATGGTACGTATCTGTTGTACCGTTTTACTTTACTCCTGCTTGTCATTATGGCAGACATTCAGAATTCCCAACAAAACGATTTTCGACCGCAAAAAGGCGACTTATGGCTTATTCCATTTCTTCATTCCAATACTAGTTAACTCTCATAGAGGGCATTAAGAGTGTAGAGCCTGTCATTGTACTTCTAGCTAGAAAGATAGCGCGCAATCACTTAATGTATAAGATTCCCTTGCACACTGGAACAGATCGCAGCCTCAAGGAATGTGGCCCGTCGCTTCAAGAAAATGCTCAACAAGACCGTCAGAGATCTGCCGTGATAGTCAGGTTCCGCCCACGAAAACTGGCTCCTCTCTTTAATTTCGTTTCATAGCTGCGGTGCTTTATATTTCTATTTTGCTCGCTCAGTGTCTTTTCCTCGTGTGACTGGCTGCGCTTAATCCATCGTGACCTTGCTGCATCATGTGCAGCACGTGGGTGCTAGGAGGCGAACAGTTTCGCTTGATTTCAGAAAGTCAGAAAACTTATGGCTCCAGGCTGAACACCCACATGCCTGACATAGCCTAAGGCGCCAATTGTCTTTGCCCTCTCGCCTGTAGTTGTTACGTACCTATGACTGCATGTTCTGTGTGGCATTTTGGCATCAACTTAAGTGCAGCAAAGTGGAGATAGCGCGGGGGCATCGGGAGATGGCACTCGAGTATCATTATTCTCCAATCCTATTCCATGCTCTTTCGAGCGGACGAAATGGCAGCTGATGACCTATTCACTCTCTCATAGCAAGTACCGTCCTCGTAGGTGAGAGTGCAGTCTGTCTTCAAGGCCTCCCTCAACAGATTCTATTTATCCGTCATGGTCTGCGTTGAAGAGCGGAACTTCACATTTGTACAAAGCGATTCGCGAACAGATTTGACAGCGACTTTAAATTATTTTCTGCTATTAAAATCTCCATCATGCAGTCCTTCTATATGGTTTACCCACACATCCTTTATGACTGTACTAATCTAGAAGAGTTGGGAGCGGCGGTTGGACCTGAGTGCTGTCGTTGTTGATGATGATGCTGAAGAAGAATTAGCAAGTGTTATGGATAAGGCACGCCGTCTCAGGCAGGTCGTGGTGAAAAAGGAGGATGATGACGTTGCACAAAAGGTGATTACTTCATGTTGTGTTATACTGTTTAGTAGTCGTTTGCCTAAGGCTGCGTTCATATTTTGCGTCAGCGTCCACCAGCGTTCATGAGCGCCGGGCAGCGCCAGCGACAAAAGTATAGATATCGATCTAGCGTCTGCCAGCGTCCACCAGCGTCTCGACGACTAGGGAGGTGTAGGTATTGATCTAGCGTGCCCACCACCGGCTAGCAGCGTCCGGGAGTGGAGAGTGTGCACGATAAGAGAGTGGCAGACAGCTGGTAGAGTATGGGGAGATAGGAGGATAGCAGACTGCTGATAGAGAGTATGCGCGATAGGAAGGTAGCAGACAGGTGGTACCTTCCCATCGCACCATATTCTCTACTAGCAGACTGCTGCTTTTCGCTGGTAAACTCTGGCAGACGCTAGATCGATATCCGTTCTTTCCTAGTCGCTGACGCTGCCGCAAAGTATGAACGCAACCCAGCGATTTGAAGACCAATTCTAGCTAAGAAACTACCGTTTAAGAAACTGATCCATTTTCTTATTAGGTCCTTGAGATGGTGTCATCACACAATATAAAGATGGAAGTCGACGACGGAACTGATGATACACAGAATAACGCTCCGAAAGATGGAGCTGTAACCTTGGACTCGACTATGGAATACTGCAGAAACATTGGTAACCCTTATTGCCTTGTATCTGGAAAACCTTCATTCCACCAATCATTATTCATGTTGTAGGCGAAATCCATACCTATGTTAACCGACGCCATAGACGTATCAGAAATGAAACAAGAAGATGATGAAGAAGATACTGCTGAGATAAGGTCAGTTGCGTTCAGCTTCACATTTCAGCTTGATTTTTACAGTCTTTTTCTTGTTTCACCACATAAGACCGAACGGCTTCTATTTGTAAGCTCTCTTGGGGGTTTTATTAACACACTTGAGCTGTTTTTTTTCTTCCTGAGCGAAATGTTCCCATTTGTAGGAAGTGGAAACAGGCTCAAGCAGAAAGAGAGCTTCGCCGGAAGGAGCGGCTCATGCACAAAGAGAGCAAGAATAAATGGAATGAAAAACCTGGCAGCAGCACCGCTGCTATCGACAGCGATGACGAACAACGTCTGAGGGAAGCAGAAGGAGCCGTTAGTTTTATCTTTTGTCGCACATTATTGTAGTTATGCGGAATGAAACCTGAATAACTAAAGTGTTATTCTCTTACTCAAGGCCTATTCTGATGATGATGATGATGATGATGATTCCGACAATGGATACGTTAAAAAAGAATACGAAAATGTACTGGGGAAAGAGGCGGATGTCACCAAAGGAGTGGGTGCCATGTTGAAGTTGGCAGCGCAAAAGGTTTGTCGGTTTTCTGTTTCAAAATCATATTTTGTTCAAAGTGCTGAGGCGTTTTACCTCTCTAGTTGATTCCGCCTCAAATCTTCAGAGGAGAGTGAAATTTTGAAATTCTATATCAAGGAATTACTGGCGTTTTACAGGGCTACCTCAATGATCCAGAAGCAAAGAAGAAAACTGGTCAAAATTTGGATCATCTTCGCAATCAGTCTAAGACTCAAATTGAGCAAGGCAAATAGTGAGTTAAATTACTAGTAGTTGTTACCAGTTTCTGTCCCTAAGCCACCGTTGCGTACCTCCTTTGCAGCGCATGTTTCGCGTCTTCCGCACTGCTAACGAACAGCTGCAACAACAACAGCTCGTTAAGTGGCTTGCCAGCCACTGATACCAAATGCATTTTACCAGTCGGCTCGCGGCTAAAACGCCGGCGCGCCTCTTCTGATACCCGCGGCTGCGCCGGGCGAGCCGCGACTTCGGCGCTGCGTTTTCCTTCCACATAATTCTAAGATCTGAAACTGATATCCGCTCTTTTGTTCTGTCTTCCACTTTTCTTCCCGGTGTCTGAAGTACTCTTTGAGCTGCTTTAAGATTATGGTCTGAACTCCCGCCCACGCTCTGGAGCAGGCCCCCCCCACATATGTTTGTGCGTCACAAATCCTCAACCCGGCGAACTCACCTGCTGACCTTAATAACCACTTTCGTCTCTATCTCTGGAAAACCTGTTTTACAGACATTGGTGTCTGCTCCGCCCACCTCCGGAGGGCAGGCTCCGCCCACAATTGTTTGTGCCCCACAATCCTCACCGGCGACCCTCTGCTGACCTTAATCCACACGTTTTTTTTCGGTCTTTGAAGTGCTCTGGGACAGTTTCAGAGAATTTTCTTCTGCTCCGCCCACCTCGGGCTGCCCCGCCCAATATGTCTACCCCCACATTTCTCAATCGGTGACCCCTTGCTGACCTGAATTCACTTTATTCCGGTCTTCGGAGTGCTCTGGAACCGTTTTACAGACCTTTTTGTCTGGCTCCGCCCACAATGTTTTTGCCCCACAATCCTCACCGACGACCATCTGCTGACCTTAATCCACTTTTTTTCGGTATCCGGAGTGTTCTGGAAGCTACAAACTTTCAAAATGAATACCCGCGACTTAGGCAAGTTTACGCCTACTGCCTGGCGGTCTCAACACCTTTGAGCGTTCCCTATATTCGCCGGATATTTTCATTCTACACTGAGTTTTTTGCGACTTCCAAACACTCTCGCGAACCGGGTTACTGAATTTTGCGAGAAGCACCGCCCACCTTGAGTACGCCCCGCCCATTTAGGGTGTACCTGCCACAGTTAGTCTGGCGACTCCTTACTAACCTTAGTCCCTTTTTCCCCATCTTTAAGCTGCTCCGGAAGCGAATTATGAACATTTTTCTGCGGAACCCCAAACTTTCGGCGAGTGCCCCGCCCACTGTGGGCGGGGCTTCCCATAGGTCAAGTGTGCTTTTTATTTCTTGTCCCATGCCCTACCCATCCCCACCTTGACCCGACCTCTCCAAGTCGTTCTTCAGGTCGAACCGAATTTCCGGACAGACAAAACAAACTTACAAACAAACAAACAGACAAAGCGAATTATATATATGGGGTGATAGCAGAGTAAACCCAACATTACCCCAGTTCGATACCGCAGCATGGATTGGTTCTTAGTTTTGGCAGTGGCCGATCCCTCATCTAGTCTTATCGCATCCATTGATAGTTTTATTTCTGTAGTCTCGGCATGCTTGCATGCTCCTGTTCAAGCATGCGCTATGCTTCCCATCGCAGCCCGCTTTCACGCAAGCGAAACTGCCTTTCAGTACCCGCTGCAGGGCTCGTCCAGCTATGAGCGGCTAGTGTAACGGCGTAAAGTGCATTTAACGGTTGTCTTATTGTCGATATAGTCGGGCAGTGTGTTATCACATTAAAGATACTGGATGGATACATCAGTAGAGACCTCAGCTCTTTGGAACTTTCTGGCGACGTGCATTCAGTGGGGTAGGCCGCGTCCGCTGAAATATTATGAAATTGAGTTGGACCCACTTTTACGGCGAAGTACGTGACCAGCCCAGTGGTGCTGCGACATGTACTGTAGAGGACGGTCGCGGATATTGTCTTAGCTTTGTGATCTGTACGCCAAGTTGCCTGCTGGCGGCGGAAGACCTTCAGAGGACCTATCACATGATCTACGCGTGATTTGCATGGCCTTGGTTGCTTGTCTTGTTTTCGGACCAGATTTTGGTGGCGCAGCACATCACTGGCAGTACCGTGGCGGCGTTGACTACTGAGACGTACGGTA